AAATAACGTGCCAGAGTCAACATTTGCTTTCATAGATGGTTCTTTTGCATCTTTGCATTTTTGTGTTACCTTCCCAATTGTCCTTGACTTGGGGGCGGGGGGAGGAGAAGTAATTATTATCTATGTTAATTATCAAAACCAATCCATTCCAGCTCCAATAGGAGCCTTTCATGAAGATAGGCTGATTTGCAGCATTGCTGCTGCCCAGCAACTCCCTTATCTGCCCTTCACTAGCAGTTTTTTCTGCAAAGTCTTTTTTTCCCTCTCACACGAGATGCTCAAACATACCTGAGTATTTTACGGCTGGTTGATCTCACCTGCTGTTAATACTCTGGCAGCACCAGGTAGAGGTGGTCTTGTGCTGGGCACTGTGCTGAGCACAGGAGACCACGGAGCCACAAAGGACTTGGAGTTAATGTTGAGGAGTCATGAAGGACAGATACAGATGAAGTGGCTTGTCCAGGGCCCTTCTGGTCTCCCTGTTATGGCTTGTCAGGTTCCTTTTGGTCCTCTCTTGAAAGGAGAAACTAAAGGAAGGCTATTAAATCTGTATAACTTGAACAAAATAAATAATGACATTTTAATCCCTGATCTGGAAAATTATTAAAGATCCATAATTACAATAACACTATAGAATTGGATTTGGATTTTCACTGTTTGATGCTGCAGTGAGCCTGATGCTCCTCATTTGAGCAGCAAAATCCACTCCAGTGGGTTGCTCAGTGAATCAGAAAGACCTGAGGAATGATGCTCATTACACTCAATGTGTGTTTCTCTTGGCAGTTGAGGCTCTTGTGTAATTTCCCCTCCCTGTTATGTTGGTGCTCAGCAATTTTCAGATTGTCAGCTTAGAGCTGACAGAGCTCGAAGGGAAGATGAGGTGTTTGTGGAGTCTGATGATTGGGATGTGTTCTTTGTCACTTGCCTTTCCCTGGGCTCCCTCTCTCCCTTCCTTCCCATGTCTTGGTCTCTGTTATCAGCTCATACTGCCTTTGGCTCTTGTTCTGCACTGGTTCACAGAGAGGAGGTTGGCTCCAGGCTGCCTTTCTTTCAAACCAGGGAAGTTTCACATCCCTAAGGTATGGTTTTGGCAACTGATCTGTGCTCCGCAGCCTGCTGGGGTGAGCGTGAGCATCCCACCCTGACACAGCTCTGTGCTCTGGTGCAAAGAGCCACCACCATCCCCTGGTCCTGACCTGTGCCCAGTGCTGTCCTCATCCTTCCACAGGGAACGTCAGAGGATGAAGGCCAGCCAGGAGCAGGAGGTTTTATCTGCAGGACCTGCTGCTATGAATGTGTTACAGGAGCCAAAGCAGAAGATGGTGCAGCCTGTGCCAGCAGCAGCGCTTGCAGTGGCTGTTGCAATGCGACTGTCATGTGCAACCTCTTCCTTTGAGCTGCAGGCTTGCATCAGCCCAGCTTGAAAGATTTGTCTCCCTTCTTGCCTTCCTATAGGACCACGGATTTATCTCTTATCTCACCATCCCCTTTGCCTTATCAGCTGTGCTGCTGCCCTGTTAACACTGGTTGTGAAGACAGCGAGTGGAAGGCACCAGCTGAGCCACAGGAGGACAAAACCCAGGGATCCTGACAGTGGTGCTGGTAGGGACGGGACTCCCCTGTGCTGCCACAGCCCTTGCTGTCACCAGTCCCTCTGTGTGTCACAGAGGAAGGAACTGGCCCCAGAGGAATGAGGCAAATCTGCTTGAGGTGGCAAAGCTGAATGCAGAACAGACCTACGCTACATCTGAGCTGCGTCTGGACTGAATGATCTTTAAAGATCTTTTCCAACCTAAATGACTCCATGGAATTCTTGCTCCAGGTCCTTTTCTGCTATCAGCACCGCTCAGAGCACCCTTCCAGCCTCACTGAGCATCCTCTGTCCTTTCATCAGAGGGAAGGGTAAACAGGAGCCCATCTGTCCTTCTCATTATTGCCAGTGTTACCTTGTATAGCTCTGTCTAGCTCCACACACATTATCTCTTCTCTGAATTTAACAGGCCTAATCTATTCTATCTGTCCTTTTACAGGCACCTTCATCTGCTACTAATCACTTTTGTTTCCCTTCTACAGAACTCCTCTCTGCATCTCCTTACTGGGCAGGCAGAGAGGTAACCAGGGCATGCACTCACAGCAAGGTCACTCATTCACTTGGATATTGCCATTACACTCATTTTAGAGCTATTCTTGACATGTTTCTTACCATGGTTTCCTATCACGTGTTTCTGTTGCAGGCTTACTTGTTATTCTCACAGCTTCACCCTGAACAAAGTGGTCTGTGAGGTGCTGGTTATAGTCTTCTCCTGTGCCCTCTCTGGTCCTTCAAGAGGCATCTTGAAGAATCACTTGAAGAGGAATCACTCACATCTTGGCCAGTGGCAAAGTGCTGCCTGGTTTTTAAAGCACCTTTACCAGGCCCTTCTGACACCTTTAGCCTGAACTCACCCAGTTAGTGCTGCTGGTAGATCTTGACTTGCTCCTGGGCTCACTCAGACTGCTGCTGCAGGCATCTGAGGGCTTTCTTCCCCAGTTTCTAGATATTTGGTATTTAATTTCTCATAGATCCTCTCAGGTGGTCTGAACAGTGTCACACCACAGATCTCATGACATCCATAGCTGTGATCAGGGGTCTGTTCTGGCCCAAGCAGCAGGGTTTCTATCTTTTCATCCCCATTCTTGTGCTCCCTCTGTTGAGGATGTCCTCAGGGGGATGCTGGAGAAGCCATGGTCAGGTTCTGCCAGCACTATATTGTGGCCACTCTGCCCTCTGTTCCCATCAGCCCTGCACTGGATGCACCAGTGTAAGCAAAATGTTGTCCCAGGACGACAAAGTGAGAGCAGTGGATGCCTTGACAGGGTCCTGCTGGCCTGGAAACCTTGAAGGTTATTGGATTAACCATCTGGATGCCACAGGCTAGCAGAAATCGAGCGGGGATGTGCACACAGTGTGCAAGTTGCCTGTGTGTGGCAGTGCTGTGCCTGGAGAGCAGCTGGGGCAAGCCCTGGCCCTGTGCTCTTGTGAGCTTCAGCACACATAAAACAAAGCATAGCATAAACCAGTGGTGATGTCCAATGAGGGGCTGTTCTGGGGTTTCTGGATTTGCTGCTGCCTTCTTGGACCAGCTTCACTTCTGTCATGATTTAACCCCAGCCAGCAACAGGGCTGGAGCAGCTCTGCTCTGGAGCCAGGCTGAGAGAGCTGGGCTGGGGCGCTGGACAAGAGAAGGCTCCTGAAGGGGACACCTTAGAGCAGCTCCAGTGCCTGAAGGGGCTCCAGGAAACCTGGAGAGGGGCTTTGGACAAGGGATGTAGGGACAGGCCAAGGGCAATGGCTTGAACCTGCCGGAGGGGAGATTGAGATGAGCTCTGAGGCAGAAGCTCTTCCCTGTGAGGGTGCTGAGGCGCTGGCACAGGGTGCCCAGAGAAGCTGTGGCTGCCCCATCCCTGGCAGTGTTCAAGGCCAGGTTGGACACAGGGGCTTGGAGCAACCTGCTCTAGTGGAAGGTGTCCCTGCCTGTGGTTTATACGCTGAGCATGACACGCTGTGGTATGAAATGCACCTTCAGCTAGTTCAGGTCAGCTGTCTTGTCTCTGCTCCCTCTTGGCTTCTTGAGTCCCTCCTCACTGGCAGAGCATGAGAGACTGAACAGTTCTTGATCAGGGAAAGCACTGCTAAGCAACAGTTAAACATGGGTGTGTTATCAGCATTACTCTCGGACTAAAGCCACAATACAGCACTGCACCAGCCACTAGGAATAAAATTAACTCTATCCCAGCCAACATCAGGACACTACCTTTGCTGGAGCAGTCATAGAATCATAGAACGGGTTGGGTTGGAAAGGACCATAAAATCACCTAAGTCATCTATTTCCAGCCCCCCTGCCATGGGCAGTCAGTGGCCCCCTGATGCTTTTCGCAGAGCTGATTGTTGCTGGTGGTAGTCCTGATGCTCACTTTCACCCCAGCAAAGTTCTGGGTAGCACTGGGGAAAATGTGATGACAGCAGAGTCACAGCCACCACATAGAGTTGGCTTCTCCTTGGAGCAAGAGAATTAATCCCAGCTCTCTGGGGCTTCTTTAACCCAGTGTCGGAATGAGATGGACTGAGCTGAAAGGATCATGTTGACTCTCCATGTTGTTACATTAGACTTAGAAATTCTCTCCATTCCCTCTCGTCTCCTCCTCCAAGAGGAAGGTGAGTTATTTAAGTGATGTCTCGTTCTGTTTGCACTGCAGTGTAAAGGAAATAAGACAGTTTTGACAGAGCTGAACAGAGCCTGTGGTTGAGCAAAGATATGAAAGAGCAGTTTCAAAGAGGTGGCTTGTCAGAAGCAGAGTGAATTGTGATATGGGAGCAAGGAGGGGTGGCACTGAGAGCCCTAGAAACAAAGGGGAAGAGGACTCTATGAGTGCTGTGTCCTGAATAAGGCCAGGCTGTCAGGGAAGCAACTAGTGACAGCAAAGGCCCCACCACAACATGAAAGCTCTTGGGAGCAGCTGGGAAGGAAATAGGAGGAGAGGAGAGATGAAATCCAGCTGTCTCAGCTCCTACAATATGTCTTGAAGACTGAGGTGAGACACTTGAGTTGAACCCTCCCTCTGGCACACAGACATCTGGGTTTGGGGCTTCCACAGATGGTTCCTGGCCTCCCACATCAGCAGGAGGGGTTGGGACCGGAGGGCGAGGTATTCTCCAGGGGCTGTTCTAACCAAACTGGTCTGTAGATCTAGTTAATGTGGAAAATTGGGCAGGCCGGTATGACTTGGTATCCTTAACAGGCTCCGCCAGGCTTCACTGGTCCTTCACAGCTGGTCAGCTTGAGTGCTTGCTCTCCAGCCACAAGCACTTGGCCCATCTCCCTCATTGATCCCCCCAGTTGCTGTGTCCCCAGTTTGAGGTGGGATGGACAGAGAAGCTCCTCCCTGGTGGGATCTGAAGGCATATCCCTACCAGGAAAGCCCCCCGGACATGGCAGGCTCACTCCATCCTGACTCTGCAGGTCGGAGACCAGATCCTGGAGGTGAACGGCAGGAGCTTCCTCAGTATCCCCCACGACGAGGCTGTGAAGCTGCTTAAGTCTTCCCGCCACCTCATCATGACGGTGAAGGACATCGGGAGGCTGCCTCATGCCCGCACCACTGTGGATGAGACAAGGTGGATAGCAAGCTCCCAGGTCGGGGACACCCTCATCACCTCAGCAGGGTACGTGCTTGGTGCACCCCGTGCAGGTTTGTCATGTAGCTCTATCAGCTCAGAGCTCCTGTATGGTGGACGCAGTCACCTAGGGGGTGTATGGAGCTTCAGTACCTGGAATGTACTGAATGCTGTGGAGCTCCAGTACCCGGAATGGTGGCAGCCTGATGCACTGCAATGTGCATGGGCAACCTGTCCATGGGAGCACAGTGGGTTCTCAGGCATGTGGCCCCCATATCTGGGGCTTAGAAGATAGCCTCTCTGGCCTGGAAGGTGGATCAGGGCTGGAGAGCACACTGCTGCCCCTTCCCAGTTCCCTTACAGGCACTGAGAGGAGAGAACATCACAGGTCTTGAGGTAGTGAGTGATGGGCACACGGTGCTCAGTGCTAACTGCTCTTCTCTCTCCTTGCAGGGCAGTGGGTGACCGTGCTGCGGAGGTGACAGCCAGGGTAAGAGATGCAAATCCTTCCTGGTGCCTCGGGAAAAGAAATCACCATTATTGTCCCCTTTTTTCCATGGGAGGGATGGATTTGTGCTTCTGGTTTAAAAGGGATGCTTGTCCTATGAGGTTTAACTGGCTCAAGCCTTTCTCCTCCCCACCTCATGTTGCCAGCTGTGTTTCTACAAGCAGTGACATGACATACCCCCTCTCCTGTGCCACTGGTGGGTCTGCAGCACGTCTGGTGCCTCCAGCCTGGGAATGATCACATTGACAGGCAAGGACCCCTCCACCCCACAGAGGTGACCGTGATGCCTTCTGCATGGTGGCTGCCTCTGGGCCCTGCCAGCTTCTGGGATCTTTCCCACCTGGAAGTAGGGCTGCAATGCCAGCATGTCTTCTCTCAACACCTCCTTGCAAAGCTCCTGTCTTTGAAATGGAAATGAAGCAGCGAGGTTTCACAGGTGGCTCTCACTGATAACAGCTCTCTGTTGTTCTATGCAAAACATGTTCACTCCTTGCAGTGTCTCTGGGATATTCAGGGTCTTGTCTGGCTCCATATCCCTCTGTGGACTGTGCCAGCACTGCCTGGGAGGGAAGCAGCAAGGACCTCCTCTTAGAAATCCCTCTCCAAGAGAAAAGCCTTTCATCTGCAGCCAGGCTTGTCTCTCTCTGGACTCCTTTGGTGGCCAGTAGCTCTTTCTTCACCAGGCTCTGCTTTAACCTTGCAGCGGAGGCAAATGTGCCTTTTCCACAAGATGGGAAGCTTGCTTTTCCTTGTGACCCTATTTCCCCAGCTTTGCCAGGAAGGGAATGCAGCCTGCTATTAAATCAAGGTGCTGGCCAAGGGACAGCTTGTGAGCAGAGCCTGGAAGCTGCTTTGGTTATTCTGCATAAACTGAAGTTACACAGACAAGTCATGATGCTGAGTGAGCAGCCATGCTGGTGAATCCTTGTGGATTCACCTCTGGTCATTTTGGAAGCATTCCCCTTCCAGTCCCCCTTTGGCACAGGAAGTTAGGTGAGAGCAGCAGCCTGTAATGCGGGGATAGAGCTGGCAGCAGAGCCCAGAGCAAGGGGCAAGTTCTCATGCAGCCTGGCTGTCTCTGCTTCCCTCCTTTCAGCCGATTCCTTGGCATCTCAAGCCAAAGCCTTTCTCCTGTCTCCCGCAGCCCGTGTTCTATCGCGGCCTGGCTGGCTCACAGGTGACACTGAGCACCATGGTGAACCAGACCCGTGTCATGCTGGAGGAGCAGGCACGGCACCTCCTCAATGAGCAGGAGCGGGCCACCATGGGCTACTACCTGGATGAGTACAAGGAAGGCCACATCTCCGTGGATGCTCTGGTCATGGCGCTCTTTGAACTACTCAACACACATGCTAAGGTGAGGCCCACTCCATGGTCAGGGATGGTTCCTTGTACCTGGTGGACTGAGCAGAGCCATTGGCACAGCAGATAAGTCTCCAAGGTTATCTGCTCGGGGACAATGGTGAGGGTGGAAAGCAAAACCCAGATGTAGGACACTGTGGGGGATAGAGGCTGGTGTTCAGTGGCAGAGGAGCTTCTGGTAAAGTTTAGGAACAAACCTCCTCATGTATTACATGGAATGGATTGTGTTGTGTTGGAAGGGACCTTAAAGCTCCCCCAACTCCAACCCCTGCCACGGGCAGGGACACCTTCCGCTAGAGCAGGTTGCTCCAAGCCCCTGTGTCCAACCTGGCCTTGAACACTGCCAGGGATGGGGCACTCACAACTTCCTTGGGCAGCCTGTTCCAGTTCCTCACTGAAGGCTCTGTTACCTGCCAGTACATCCCATTACCACTGTTGGACAGTGTGGGAGGAGGGGTCTTCGCCTGCCAGGAGGATGGTCGTGCTCCAACCTGTCTTTGGTGTGTGTCTCCTGGCGCAGTTCTCGCTGCTTTCAGAGGTCCGGGGTGTCATCTCCCCGCAAGATCTCGACCGCTTCGACAACCTGGTACTGAAGAGGGAGATTGAGTCCATGAAGGCACGTCAGCCCTCGGGGCCCACCATTGCCAGCGACTCCTACTCCATGATGTCCTACAGCGACACCGTCTCCTCCTCCAGCAGCCACTTCACTGCCACCACTGTCAGCTCAGCCCGGGTGAGTCCCTCCTGGCTGGTTCTGTTGCTTTCCATGCCTGCTCCTGGCAGCCCTACAACCACCTCATATCCCTGGAGTGCTATAAAGGCATTTCACCCGCAGGAGAAATGATGGATTCCTTCGCTGATGGATTCCCCAGAGCTTATCCAGGTGCAAAAGTGTGATTTGTAGGTGCATAAGATGGTGCCATGACATGCGCTTGGGGATCTCCATGCTCCTGAAACTGAGATGTGACTGTTCTCTGCATGGGGACTTGACCTGGTGCTGTCACTTTGTCCCCTGTGCAATGCAAGATGCATCCACACAGGGATCTCAGTGACTTGTCCCTGCTGAGCCTGCTGCTATTCACCAGCTCTGGTGTCTGAATCACCTCCTTAAAGGCGTTTGCTACCTGCTCTGCATCCCAGCAGGGACCTCAGTGGCCTATGCAAGCCCCTTCCCACTCATGGAAGCATTGAGTGGCAGCTCTCCCATGTCTCCCTACCAGCCCTTCACTCCACACACCCCCTAAGTTCCTGTAATCACCTCCAAGTGCACAGGCACGTTAGTCTCCTGGCCATCAAATGCCTTTCACCGTAAATGCACCAGCAACTTTGGAAATGAAAACCTTCATGAAAAGAACTGATGACAAGGGGCTGTCTGCTGGTTGGGTACAAGGAAACCAGCCCATGGCCAGGGAGAGTGGGAATGTGGTGCAGAAAGTGCAGGCAGGGAGTTGGGGGCATTCCAGGTCAGTCCAGGATCACAAGAGGCCTTGGAGAGCTTCAGAGCATCAGAGCTGGGCTTTTGTTCCATTGACTTCACAAAACCTGTAGGAAAGCCATGTGCTTTCTTCATAACGGATTACAGTGAGATGTTTTCTGGATCAAGATAAACAAAGCAAGTTTTGCTCTGCTGGGAAAACCTTTCTGAAGCACAGAAAGCCAACACAGGTCTTCCAGGACCTGTGTGACACCCTGCTTTCATGCCATCCCCATGCCTGGGGCTGTACCCCTTCCCTCAGGTGTGCCATGCTCTCCCTCTTGCTCCATGACACCAAATGTGGTTGCTTGACCTGTGGTGTGTGAGCCGTGGTCCAGCCCTACCTGGCACGCGAGCCCAGAGGTCAAGGATGGAGACTGAGGTACTGTTCTGGCATAGAGAAGAGAGGGTGTACACTGCTGTAAGAGCTTCCTTCAAGAACATGTGTCCCTTGGTCACACTACAGGTCCTCCCTGGCAGTGGGGCACCTCTTTCCATGGGTGTGAAAGCATACCCTGCTCCAAGCTCTGCCTGGGGTGTTGGGAATGCAAACACATGAGAAGGTTGTCACCACTGCTGCTGGAACAAGTGCCAAGCAGAGAACACCAGCTCATGGTGGATGGATGCTTATCTCAGCTAGCAGGGGAGAGAAGAGGGGCAGAGCTCCCGAACTATTTCTTCTGCCCTGAGCTCTTGCTGCTCTCCCTCCCCAGCACTGGCTGCAGCTGGATGTGGATGCTGCAGGATGGGTTTGGAGGGAGGAGGGATGCCTTGTGCTGGGGTTTGCTTGTCTCCCTCCCTTGTCCTGCAACCCCCTGATGGTCTGTTTTGCTTTTGTGCTTGTTTCAATCTGCTTTCCCCCCCGCACGTCCCCAGGAGCGGCTCTTGTGGCTAATAGACCTGATGGAGGTAGGGGCTGCTGGAGCGCTGCGGTTGCCATAGCAGAGGGGATGAGTGTGTGTGTGGATGGGTTTTGGGAGGGAGGCAGGGAACAGGCTGTGCAGGAACCAGCATGTCAACAGCCACATGAACAGCACCTTGATTCATCCCCTTATCCCTCTTGAACCATTCCAGTCCCTTTGCTCCAGCATAGGTCAAGGCCTTGGTGCTACAGAGCAGACAAGACTCAGCCATGAGCCAGACCCAGTGTTCTGCTTGCATTGGAACCCTGTGTGTCACTGGCAGCTCAAGTATGGGCTTTTAGGACCAGTGGTGTTGATGGACCCCAGACTGCCCCTCCCGTAACTGCCTGCCTCTACCTGCTGCTCTGCTGTCTTGCTGTATGGGCATCCTGTCTAAACACCAGTAGGATGGTCACATCCTGTCACTCGTAGAATCCCAGACTGGTTTGGGTTGGAAGGGACTTTAAAGCTCATCCAGTCCCAGCCCCCTGCCATGGGCAGGGACACCTTCCACTAGAGCAGGTTGCTCCAAGCCCCATTCATCCTCAGGGATAGGGGAGAATTTTCCTTATGAGCTTTGGGTCTGCAGGAACCTGTGCTGCAGTGCAAGAGGGGTTGGTGTGCTCGTGCTGTGCATGTTCAGCCTTGGAGAAATCCTCACACAGCCTTTAGAGAGGCTACACATGGATGTGGGGAGAGCCTCAGCAGTCTTTCTGTCATAGCAGAGCTCTTGGTTGGGAGGAGGCTGAGAAAAGCTGCTGGCTTGTGCTCCATGGTGTGGAGTGTGTTCCCTCATCCTTCTCTGGGAGGAAATCACAGGGGTCACTGGGTTGAGGACACACAGGGAGGTGGAGCTGAGAGCTGGTGGTACTGCTCTGGGAGAGGAGCTCTGGCCCAAGAGCCACAGCCCTCTGGAAACAGCACTGCTCTGGAAGGGGATAGTGTAGTGTTCCCAGATGGAGTTTATCACAGGCACCCTGTACTGTGGTACACAGAGTTCTTTGCCTTCATGACCAAAGGCAGTGACACTAAACCAGGCTTCCTGTCCTGCCAGCTCCCCATGGGTCAGTGGGTGAAATGGTGCCAAAAATAACCAGTATGAGGCTGATCAGAACCTGCCACGTGACAAGTGATACTGTTACAGGATGCTTGAGGACACTGTGAAATGAGACAAAGCTGTGTTTGATGGGGCTATCCATGGATAATGGATGTTGGTCTATCTGTCACCATCACCTCTTGTAAGTCTTGGCTCTCAAGATGTGTCCTGCAAAGCAGAGGTTAATTGTAGCAGCAATGATCAGATGCAGCTTGTCTGATGATAGCAGGAGGAGTTTGTAATTACTCACAGGCCAGGCAGCATTTCCTTTGGCACTGCCTCCTACCCAGCCCTCGTTGTTAGGATTAAGACGTTGCCCTCTGAAGGTGCCTTCTCCTCCCAGGGCCTGATCCCACAGGCTCTGACTTGCTTCCAGCTCCCTAAAGCTGCAGGATTGGGCCCCATGAGGTAACCCAGTTTTGTTGCTAAACCCCTGTCTGTCTGTGGTCTGTCTTTGGTCTCTGTTCCACAAGAGGTATAAATAAGGAGAGGCTGGCACTGAGCTTCCTCTCTCTAGACAGTGAATCTCAAGCACAAGATTCCACAGCCTCTTTGGCAGATGATCTCTGTGTCCCCACAGGGAGAGCAGAACAAGAGCAGAAGAACAGGGGACGTCTTCCTCACCAATGTCTCCTGTTATTGCTGCTCCAGCTCCTGGTGTCCTCTGACCCCTTCAGGACAGGCAGACACCCTGTGTGGAGGGTTCTCGTGTGCTTGGCATAATCCTCTCAGGAAAGGAGGTTAGAGACAGGGTGAAGCCACCACATGGGTGTCATTGTCACCCTCAGAGGCCCCAGAGTCAGGCCTGTGCTCAGACTGGGAAAGGGAAAGGGCTCTGGGGCTCCAGCCCTGTGGATCCACTGTGGGGTGGGAGAGGGAAGGGAAGAGCAGAGGAAAGCTGGGCTTAGAATGGTGCTGTTGAAAACTAAACCCTGCAGGAGCCAGGCTGAGTGTCTCTGCAAAAGTCTCCTTAGCAGTAACTGGAAAATAAGGGACTCATTTGGAGCTGTGAGGTTAATTAAAGGTTGGGTTGTATTCCCCAGGGAGGTGAGAGTTCCTCCATCACTTAATCACTGAATGGAAACTGGCTGTTTGAATGAAAGATGCTCTGAAAGAAAGATGCTTTCCAGCTCCATTGCTCCTGTCTTGGGCTCCAGGGTGGGAAGGGCCAAAGTTTTCCATCCAAGGGGCTGGAAGAGCCTCATCTGCCTCCAGTTTCCATAAGAAACTAAGAAAACAGGTTGAGTAAAGGAGTAGGGTGGGTAGGAGGGAGCAGCCTCCTCAATAAATACTCATTTCTCAGAGCAGTGGCACCATAGCTCCAATGGGTCTTTCAAGGGACAGCCAAGAAAGCTGTCTTAAAATAGACAATTAATGAAAGCAAATGTGCTCTGCTTAAAAGCCATTACACTTTATAGCCCACAGCAGTTTCTATTTAATTGCTTTTGCCCCCAAACTCGTCAGCTTGGAGAGAGGAGAATCTCCTGCTTGCACAGTTCAGTGTTAGTGTCCCTGGGTGTTGAGGGACCACAGAGCCAGGGCTGGGACACAGCACGTGATGTGCTCTGGGATGGGCTTCATGTCCTGGTGATGGGCTCAGAGTTCAGTGGCAGATCTGGGGTGGTGGTTCTGGTTTTAGGCATTTTTCCCTGTGAGGGTGCTGAGGCGCTGGCACAGGGTGCCCAGAGAAGCTGTGGCTGCCCCATCCCTGGCAGTGTTCAAGGCCAGGTTGGACACAGGGGCTTGGAGCAACCTGCTCTAGTGGAAGGTGTCCCTGCCCATGGCAGGGGTTGGAGCTGGATGAGCTTTAAGCTCCAACCTAAACCAGTCTGTGGTTCTGTGCTCTCTGCTCCTTGGTGTCACAATGGCACTCAAGCTTTAAATTCACCATCACTCCAATCAAATCTGAAGTCCTGTTGCTAATGTGTGCACAGCCCAGAGCAGTTCCTGGTGATTTTAATCAATATGAAGGCAGGCTGCTTCTGAAATAGCCCCACCAGCCTCTCCCTCCAGCCTCACACACGGGGTATCACCTTGTCCTTCATCCCAGTGCTTGGATTTGCCCAGTTCCAGCCTGCCAGGCCTGGCTGGAGCCTGATCTTTCAGCCAAACCTGTTTCCTGCCCTGGCTGGCCGCATGGTCAGTGATCCAGGGAGGAGTTTGAGGATGTTCCTCTTTCAGAACCGACCTGCCTTTCCACTGGGTTAATGGATGGAATCAACCTTTGCCAGAGGAAGGAGTGTTTTCCCAAGCTCATGCTTTACCTGTCACTCTCTGAACAAGCGTTTCTTTCAGTTCTCATTCTCCAGGGCTCTCTCGAAGCCAGAGAGCTAAAAGTACTTCCCATCAATGTTTTTGCTGCTTCTCTAATGCTCTTAATTGTCTCCCATGTCTATTCTGGGATGCTGACATCTCACAGCACAGCAGCAGCCTCCAGCAGATGGGGGGATGCAGCTGCAGCAGCATTTCAACTAATCACTTGTTTACCCTGCAGTAAATAACACACAGTTAAAAACAAACTGTACCCTGCCCATTCCAGCACCAGCGAGCAAACAGCCCTGGGAACATGACAGGAATGATGTGCACCCTTTGTGTGCAGCACCACTCCGGTGCAGCACTACACCAGACTGGGAATTGCTGTGGGAGAAGGATGCTGAGCATGGATTTGCTCTTCCAGGGCCTTGCAGGGGAACCAGATGGAGCTGGGGATAGCAAAGCCAGCAACAGAGCCTGGCTCTGAGCTAAAGTCGTGACTAGCTGGGTTCAGCACTGGCTGCACACCGCATGTTCTCCCATCCCTGCTGTTACTTAGCTAAGGTGCCTGTTTGCTCTGCTTGACCACATCCACATCCTCTCCTTGGGTCCATCCTGTTGACAACTGCCCCTGCACAGACAGACTGACAGATTCCCATAGCCCACCTTGATTGCTGGAGCTGTGCTGGGTTTGGAGCCGTGTTGGGACATTTCCTATTGCCATTTAGACTCACAAAGGGAAAGCAGTGGCAGCAGGTTCTGTTTGCATCTCACTGCTCAGGTTTGCAAGGGAGGGAGGTTTTGCAGTTGTCTCTTGCTCTTCTCTCAGGAAAGATGCAGGTATTGAACCTGCTGAGTCCAAACCAAACAGGAGGAGCTGAGGTTTGGATTAAGAGGAGCACACTCCTCCACTGCAGGTTCGCAGCACGCTTTGAGCACACTTTTTAGCTTGGGAGAGCCTGTATCCCAACAAAGCTGCTTCGCTTTGTTTCCCAACACAGTTACTTTGCTGATATAATGTGTGGGTCTGCAGGGAACCTTCAAGGAAACAGAACCCTTTGGGTACAAGACTGGCCTTGCATGGGGGGGTTTGGGTGAGCACTCTGCATGTTCCCCATCGTGCTGGCGCTGTGCTGGGTGTTCCTTGCTGCTGTAACCTGCTTTTCTCTTCTTTCTTTGCTCTCTCAGAACACGTCAGAGTTGGAGGGAAGTGGAGATGGCCACCAAAGCAGTATCAACACCCTGCCAGATGTCTCCCTGGTAAGACACTACATGGAAGACGAAGGTAAACTGGTGATGCTGAGGTTTGCCTCAGCTTCTGTAGCTCTTTGCTTAATCAGCACGTCATTGATGTCACTGAAACAAGTTAATCAGACTGGTTTGGAAGGATTCTGGCTGGATAGCATCTGTGTAGAGCAAAAGTTGGGTAGTTTGTCATCTAATCATCCTCACTTGTGAGTTATGTTCCTCTTGTCAATAAGGTCAGGAAGGTGTTTCTATGAAAGTCAGCTCATTTTGCCATCGTCACTACGAGAAGGCAGGTGGAGGTGCCTCTGAGTCTGGGGAAATGTCCTAAACACTGTGTCCTTGCTTTGGCAGGATGATCTCTCCTCCTTCCCAGATGAACCACCCAACTTCAAGCCTCCGCCTCCTCCTTCAGCCCCACAGATGCTGGCCCCCTCCTCTGCCCAGCACAGGACCACAGGGAAGGACAAGCCCAAGCGCCCTTCCTCTGAGTCCTCCCAGTCAGGCCTCTTCTTCGTGGCCCCCCGGCACCCAACACCCTCCCCCAGCCACCCTGAGAAGGACACGGTCAGCATCACCTCCACAGCCACCACATCCACGGAGGAGTCAGCCCCAAGCCCCATCTATGCCACCATCTCCCCAGCTCTGCACAGCTCCAGGAGGCAGATGGATGCTCAGCTCTCCTTGGTCAGCCAGCAGCCCATCGGGCCCTTCCCCAGGGTCCAGTCCCCAACCAGGTTGAATAGCGTATCCCTGGAGGGTCCTGCATCTGGTGGGCTTCAGAGCCCCTCTTCCCCATCGCCGCCTCCTCCTCCATCCCACCCAGCACCCCCTCCTCCAGACAAGGGCAGCCCTCAGGCTGTGGCCAACCAGCACTTCATCATGGTGGAGGTGCACCAGCCCAACAGCGAGCCTGACGTCAATGAAGTGAGGCCCTTGCCCCAGGCCAGAGGTGGGTGACACATTATTAGCCATGGGGTGACAAAATAAACCCTCTCTGGGGTGGTCCTCAAGAGAAAAGTGACAGAACTAAAGGGCAGGATCTAGGGGAAAGGGTTGAAGGGTAAAACCTGTGTCAGACTGCTGGAGTGTGAGGCTTGATTGCAAGGTTTCCCCATTCCCAGTGGGAATGTGGGCTTCCAGCACATGGTGGTGAAGAGCTATAGAGGAAAACATTCCCATTTTGGTCCAAACTCCCGTTCAGTCAGACGGGAGGAAAGCTTTGGAGCCTGGATCAGTGCTGGCATGCCCTGTCCTTTGGTTTGCTCTTTCTCAGAGATGAGCTTCCATTCAGAAAACAGCTTGTAGTGTCACAGGCTCCCAGCCTGGTTTATGTTGGAAGGGACCTTAAAGCTCATCCAGCTCCAACCCCCTGCCACGGGCAGGGACACCTTCCACTA